AGTGCGGGTGCGGGGAGTAAAGTCTCCGGCCAGACTCTCTTCAAGGTACCGCAGCAACGTACAGTTGGAAAAAGTGAGAGATGCTCACGAACAAACTCCCAGACGGGAAGCGAGGGGACGAATTATATCTGATTAGACATGTGTGAGTGTACTCGACCAAGGCTATAACGTCTGAAAACGTGTTCGATCATGGCAATGGGCTTGAGCTTGGCTTTGAGTTTGGCTCTTCTTCTGTGCTGTCGGAACGGTGCTGCCGAGAATTTCTGTTGCATTGGTAGCGTGGTAAGCCAGCTCTCAATGGACTGGGATAGGATTAGCACCAAAGAGTGAAAAAAAAAGAGACACGGCGCCTACCAGTATAGGGTGAAAGTGCCGGTTTTACATTACCATAGTGGGTCGAGCTAAACTCTGCACGGGTTAAGGTGGTGAGGCTCTTCGGGATACACTGAGCATGTCGCCATGGGCACACGTTGGCGATATCGACATACCTAAGCCTGACCGTAGGTTTAAAAAGCATTCAAGGCAACATTTGGTTGCACTTCGGTAGACCTCCTCTTCTGAGGTTGATGTTACCTAAGGGGCTAGTGTGCCTAAAGACGGGGGGCTGCAAGGGCCGAGTGAGCGGGTAGCAGGACACTTGCAGGGGTTCCATTCTTGTCGGAAAAGTAGCCGTGGCAAATGGGATACAGGAAGATCCAACATTGATCTGAACGTGCATGTCGCTTACAATGGCATGGCATGTCAGCATGTGAAGCGCTTTCTAGTGGTCTCAAGTGACTTGCATGTCACTAACTGTCAACGTTTTCTGCTCCACAAGAGCAGAGTGCCTAGAGTACCTTTTACTGCTTTGTTGACAGCGGATAATTTGCAGAGACTGTATATCCAGTAGTCGCACCATTGGGTATTTGGATGATGCTATAATCGCGGACTCGGTGAAGAGCAAGGGATCTGGAGTCATACGGATGGACGGGACTGAATGGAGCCGCGCGACCCTGAGATTTGCGGTTCTCGAATTGTCGTCGAAAGCATATGACATCAATTGGAATTCGGGAGAGCAATTGGGCAATTCTAGCAATTGTGTGGGAATCGACCGTTATCGATAAGACAAGGTAAGGTACTGTAATAATGACGCAACGGTGGAGCCGGGCAGGCACGGCACAGGTGGGGTCAAGCGACGGGAACCAAAAACGTCAATCGCATGGCAGCGGAGAGTCCGTCGGAGACATGGCATTCTGAAAGAGAGACGAAATCCCATACGCTAGAGGTACTTTACACTAACTCCACTGGCAATCTTTTCCCCTCTCTAAGACCCCTCCATTCCCCCCTTCGCTCGTGTTTCCCTATCCCGGCCAACCGCTCGGGTCGCACTTTTGAATTTTTGCATCGCCACGGTCAAGTCAGCGAGGACTGTCACTTGCTAGTTGTGGTCATGTCAGGCCATATATTTCATCTCGGCACACTGAACATTGCACATCACCATGGATGCTGAGAAATCAATCACAATTGAAAGGCTCTGCAAGGAGCTATTCTCCGGACGATTAGGTTAGCTCCGGGGCGGTTGCATGTGGCAGGAGCTGTGGAGGCACAGGAATCTCTTCAATATGTGTACATAGCAGCGTTGCAACCAAAGTTGAACCTGAAGAGGATGGAACCACTGCATCGGAATTGAAACGCAAGAAGAGGAAGCTTCTGAGCGAGCGGAGAAAACTGGTACGATTTCTAGATGTGTGAGGACTTGGGGTTATCTTATTGGTCAGCGAAGCTTGTAGTGTAGAAGAAAGTTGTGGGGAAAGAATTGTTAGTGCGCTCTGAGGGAGCAGGTACCTTCCCAGTCTCCCGCGGTCTGCAATGCGCACTGTCCTTTCTCGGCTGCTTGGCCGGAGCACATTCTCCGGGCCACCTTTTGCGCAGAAGAACCAAAGCCCAAATAACGCCACGGCCAGAAGGACAGAATCGAGCAGCACAACAGGGCGCCAATACCCTACCCTGTTGAACCATCACGACACAGAAGCGGCGATACCAGAATCTCGATGGAATGCATTTCGCAAAGACACAGTGTTATGCTCTCCTTTATGTGTATATGTTGCACGTTGTGTGGTTGTTCATCGATGCCGGGCATTCTCTTTTGGTAGCCCAGCTCCCTCGGTAATCCGGCATCACATCGACTTATCTAGGGTGATAACAATCGGACTTTGATAACCACCGTGCCACCCTCGTGTTCCCATCTCCAAGTTTGTTATCACCGGGAACCTTTCCACTGTCGCCCTCTACCTATTCACGGTGAAGCCAATGATTCCCAGGGTGCAAGGCATCACCTCACCTCTGTTGTTTAACCTTTTGAGACCCTGCCCAGGCTTCCCCGCCGAGCTACCCCTGGACCCCAACTTTTGCTTGTCAAACGTCCAGATGCTTCATCTGAAGTCATTGTCGCGGGAGATTCCCACTTGGGTCAAACCGGGACCACTTCTTGACTGCAGACACGCACCAGCCCTTGCGGAGTTGCTCAAGCTGTTGTCAATGGCTCAATCAGACTCAATGCATGCTCTCGGAGGAGTTTCATGCAGCAAGCTCAGGTCAAGCCCCGCTGCCGTCCGGTAGACTACAGTCTGGAGGATCGTATAAAGATATCTGACCATCCCATTAATAACCTCCCTGCTACGTTTCTCTTCTCGACCTATAAGGGTATCCAGGCTTCCTCGTCAACATGACGTAGAGGTACCAGTACTGCTACCGGTACATGCTGGCCGACTTTGGCACCATCCACTTCCCCCCGTAGTAGTATCCAGCCTTGACTTTGGCGGTTTCCACATCTGCAACTCCCTCCCCGGGGTCTGGAACAATTGTCTTTCGTGCAGCTCTGAATTGGCCCCAATCGGGGTGTTTGAGCAATGTTTGAATGCCCCCTCGAAGTGAACGGGCCCAATCGAGCTCATCTGGCTCACCAGAGGTTGTCAACGTTGAGTGCCAACAAACTGGGAGACGTAGTCTCCGAATTGAGTTGAGATTTACGCGAGACACCAAGACAACTAACGTGTAAGCTACTCGAGGATTCTAGATCTTTTCCAACCGGCCAAAACAGAGCTTCAACACCAGACGAGCTTACCCCGAGTTCAATGCACGACCAACAAGTCGGAAAGCTACCAAGACTCCAAAGACAGCTGTTTACATACAGAGCGGGCACCAACGAGAGGTGGCAGTGACAACTTGAGCTTGAGCTCGGCATGCAAGCTGAGATGCCTCGATGAGCTGTAGGTACAGACCTGGTCCTGGCAAATGTCATCACCAAATGTAATGTCCAGCTGGATTCTCAACGACGGAATGTGGTCCACCAACTCTGGCAAAGTATCAAGGTAGCCAAAAGAAGTGTAACGGACACATGGAAGGCGAACATAGCGAAGACTGAAGCTCAAAAGCTTATTTGGAAGCCATTGTCAGATTTGAAGCTTCTGAAGCTCTCCAAAGCTCTCCCGTCCATCAAGGTACCGAAGTACCGAAACCAGAGCGGGGCAGTGGGCACCTCAAGTGGATTAGCCGAGGGGTACGTACCTCAAGTGACAGGCCGCAGCCACCACCAGTTATTATCTGATTGGCTGTAACCTGGTCCGGAATCCAACACAGTCCCACAGTGTCCTCTTTGGCCCTTATCAGTACTTGAACCACGACTTGGCGACGTTAACAACACAGCCAAGCCTTCCATTGCGAGCTTGCAACCACAACCACGATCGAGATCGATCGATCAACACTCTTTTTGTTGTTGTTGTTGTT